CGGGGTCTACTCTTATGTCTATGGAACTAATGCAACCTGGCCGTTCAGACTCAAGTCACATTCGTGTCATGTTTAGGACCCGCGTATCCAAGTGGCCTGGGTTGAAAAACTTCGATCTGCGTTGTTCAGACTGATAAAAAGATCAGATGCATGTCGCATTGAGAAGGAATAAATGGATTTAGGTCACTTCCAGCAAAATGTTGCTTTTGCTCTGCTCAGGTTGAAAACTCCGCCTCGGCCTCAGGGACAGAGAACCGAGCCTGAAAGCAGAGGAGGGGTGAGACGCCGTTTTTCTTCTTACGTTAGCAGATCATTTACCCTAAAAACGTGATAAGTTGACCAAAGGGTTTCCTGTCTGCGCCCAGATGTTCCCCGGTTTTGGAGAAACGGGCTTCCACATGTCTTTCGGGATCGGAGCGTTCCCCTTCGGCTTTTTCACCACAGTCTTCAACGCCAACGACCCCTTCCACAGAGCAGGTAAACACGAATCAAAACAATCAATTCACACTTTACCTGGATCGTTTCTCACCAGAAATTAAGTTACTGGATTTATAAAAACTAAGGATGTAAATATTACACTAAGGTCATATGACCAGAATACAGCGGGAAAGTGTAACTTTTTTTTCCTTTTTGAGGGTTTGGAAATAAATCAAAAATAAATTTTGTTTAGAGACACGATTGTCCATCTTACTTGTTGTTTTGGTTGAATAATTAAAATACTTTCCAGTTCCAGTATTAAATATTTGTTAGAAATTAAAGTTTGATTCTGTTTTTGGGGAGGATGAACATGCATTATTATGGCCTAACTGCACTAATTCTGTTGGTCTGCTGCACAATAAAGCACATTAAAGTTGTGGTTAGGAAAGGTGCATCGATTATGTGTAAATGTAAAGTTTTAAAGGGACAAAGCTTCCTTATAATCTCCCGTCTCTGCTCAGACCAGTATGTAGGGGATCACCAAGCCAACGGTAACCTTAACAACGGCAACAACAACAACAACTGGCAGGACTCCCTCTTCCTGTTCGTCGCCATCATCTTCTTCTTCTGGCTGCTGAGCGTCTGATGATGACGACCACCGTATAAAAATAAAAACAAGACTGGAGACACTAGCGCGCGCACACACACACACACACACACACTCACACATGATTTTCATTATGTAACCTGAGAAAAAGCTGCTGAGAGTCAAGAAATACAGGTTTTCTCCTCCACTCCGCCCCCAACACACACACTGACACACACCTGCTGTGTTAACACTGTAAAAACACAAAATCTTACCAAGTATTATTGTCTAATTTCTAATGCAGATATCTTAGCACACTTGAAATAAGACAAAGTAATTTACAAGAAACTTTTCAGCAAGATATAGGAGCTTGATTTGAGTAAATAATTCCTTGATGATGATAAAGTACGAGTTCTAGTAGCAGATTATTTATTACATGGGAAAAATGTGTGTCTGAACTAATCTGCCAGTGGAACAAAACATTTTACACAGATAACAAATATTATAAGCCTCATTATAGCTTATAATATGGGAAATGATTTTTGGTCTACTTTTTAATGCTAATATATTTATACAATTGAAATAAGACAAGTAACGTTTTCTGCACAACGCAAGATCTTTTTTTAAGTGAATAATTCCTTAATATTCATGAAAAAGTGCAACTTCCTGTCAGATTATTTCACTTATAAACTGGAAAGTGAAATAATCTGCTTGTGGAAATGGCTTTTTTTTAATATTTAGGAATTGACATAAAACAATTCCTTCCTAAAAAATTACTTTAACTTAGTTTTGTCTTATTTCAAGTGTACTGAGATATTTTCTGTATAAACTAAACTATAAATACTTGGTGTTATTTTATGTTTTTGCAGTGAATGTTGTTTATGCAACAAAATAAATCACAATCCAGAGCAGGAGTCGGCAACCTTGCCTTTTTTTAATTTTTAACTCTGTTCTTTACCGTTTCAGGTCAAAGTCAGAGCCACAGGTTGCTGACCTCTGACCCCCAGTAATCTAGGGCCACCTCTGTAGTTGTCAGCACAGAGTTTGGTGACAGTATTAAAAGTTTTTAGCTGATGGAGCAGAAACAGCCGGGATGGGTAAACCTTCTTCTTGGTTTCTATATTCAGTATCCGTAAGGTGGAAGGAACGGGAGTAAGTTTATTTACATTCGTCTTAAACTGCCATTACACTGTGAGGTCACCTGAGGATGGAGCTGTCCTTAACGTCTGGTGTCTTTTTGTTTTTTTCTGTGTGTTTTTTTTCCCCCAGAATGCAACACAGTTTTATTTCAGAACGGATCCACTGAAATCTTAAAGGTGCCACTCACAGGACTTTTGCAGAATAAATGAGTTCTTTGGACTTTTCCCCCTGAAATGGAGCGATTATGAAACACTTATGTCTTGTTTTGTTTTATCTCTGTGTGTGTGTATACTTAATATATTTGTATATATGAATATTGTAAATGCTGTTTATGTGTTTCGGGGAGCTACAGACGATTGCTCAGACGTGAAAGTCTTATGATTCTGCTTCTAAAACAAAAAACAGACTTTCCCTATTGATGTGAATGATGAGGTGAAGTTTCACTTTTCCTGGACAAATAACTGACAAAATCTGTAAAAAAAAAAAAGAGAGAAAAATAATAAAAAATAAGCCCAATCTTTATAGTAACACATTTTTTTCCACCCAATACCAATCTGTTTTTTTAAAAGGTGCTTCAGGTTTCATTTTTCTTTTTAAAATTCAAATTAAATACTTTATTTATCCCACAGGAAAATTAAATCATCTTAGGTAATGACAATATGAAGCAGAATATTACCTTCACTTATGAAATCTTACCAATTATCTTTGGTCTAGTTTCTAGAGTAAATAGTTTGGTACGTTTGAAATAAAACTTTCAAGTAACATCTTGGCAAGTCGTGAGTTTGTTTTTAGTCGATAATTCATTAATATCGATTTTAAAAAACAGTTGTAGTTCCACTGGCAGATTATTTCATTCATTACAAGATATTTTAATCTGTTATAAGTTAAATAATCTGCCAGTGGAGCCTGTTCACTGTGTTGAGTCAAAATCAACTGCTACACCGTTACCTAGCAACCCCAGCAGAGCCCCGCCCGTTGCCTAGCAACCCAAGGAAGAGTTCCAGCATGCTCCAGCTTCAAACAAACGATTTTCCTAAAAAGTTGCTTGTGAAGTTTTGTCTTATTTCAGGCGTGCTAAGATATGTGACCTAGAAACTAGACAATCTTGGTAAGACTTTGTGTTTTTGAAGTGTAAACCTTTATCCGACTTTAATTAAACTCAGAGTTCTGAGTTTTAGTGCACTTAATAGTATTAGTATTTGACCTGCTGATTAAGGGAATAAATTGGCCAAACTGATGGTGCATCTCTAGTTGCAGTTTTCTAACCTGTTGCATCAGGAGATTGTGTTTAAACCATGAATCAAGTCTTCTATGTTCCTGCCAGAGTCAGAAAAGAAACTGAAGGTCATCTGAAGGACAGGCTGTCCTTCCACCGCCACCGGGCCTCGTTCTTGTCTTACGTATTTTGTCTGTCGGAGCGACTCTTTGTACCGAGGGTCTAATGTGACACTTAAACAGGTGGCTGAGGCCACAATGCAAATGGAGACTGTTGTGGAAAAACCAAATGTTCCTGGAGATTAAAGTTGATTGAAATGTTTGCTTTGTGTCTGATTTAAAAGAAAAACCTGACTTTTCTACAGGACTTTAAGAAGCGGTTTTGTTTTATAGTCATTTATATTTTCTATGGATACAACTAAGTTTTCATTTTATTGAATATTCTGACGATCAATCGCATATAAAAGAAATTGGCACATTTTGCAGAATTTTTATTTAACCACCTGTTTATCGCATATTAGAAATACATGAAGACAATTTAATTCTTAAAAAAGAATATTTTACTGCATAAAATGTAATAACATTGCTTTAGTGTAAGCTTGATCATTTGTCACAAAGGATGAATCTACAACTGAAAAAATACTTAATATGAAAAGCTCAGCCTTTTCTGTTCAGAGCCAATTGATTATTTTTGCATTAACCAATTAATAATTAATAGCAAAAGATAATAGGTTGTTTTTTAGAGAATTTGAACCAAGTAAAGCTAAAACTATTCCACTTGAGTTCAAAGTAGAAGATATTTACAAATAAGTTTTTTTTTTTATCTTAAATGTGAAATGTATATGTTGTATTTGAACAGTTTTGGATTAATTACTGCTCCGTCTGTGTTCTTTCAGTAAATTGCATGTTGTGGTCAATACTGTAAAAAATCTGTACTAAATTGCTTCATCATGATTAATTGTTAATATTTTCATAGTAATAAGGAAAACAAATTTACTGCTTATGGGATATTTTAAGGCTCAGGTCTATGTGGAGAAAGTAACAGATTGATTTGGTCAGTGTTATCAAATGTTAAAACTTCAGGACTGGAAAAAAGAAAAGGCTTCTTAAAAGTAGACTGAAACATTATTTACAATTTTATTGTACAATTCTTATTGCAATCAAATGCATAAAATACAGTACAGTGTATAAAATATATTTTTAAAATATTTAAAACTTTTCTATCCCTTCTTTCCTATAAATAAAAATCACAACAATGGTGTTGATGTGATTTTAAATGTCACATTAAAAGCTGTTTATCTGAGCAAATAAAAACTGCAGGTCACTTAAAGTAAAAGAAACGTGGAAATTAGAAACTATATTCAGACAGAATAAAACACATAATTAGACAGTTAATATTAGGATTTCACAAACATGAAAAACTAACTAAAAAGGTGCAAAAAGCATTTTAACTTTGGTAAACGTATTTAGGAGGGGGAATAAAGCACAGCGGGCTAATTAAAGGGAGCAGAAGAAGAGAGACGTCTTCCTCATTTTGCCTGTTTGTTGGATTTGTTGAGGATCTTCATGAGGTTTCTGGACATGAAATACGGCTTCTGCAGGGATCCATTGTTGCGCTCCAGATCCTCCACTGTGAGAACAACAGTCCAATTTTAATCAGCGACTAACGGTTATAAACAGCGCCCTCTACTGGTCTTAGAATAAATACACCTCAGTTTTCTATCCTTTCTGCGTCGGCCTTATTTATTACATTTGCGATTATTTTAAACATTTCATTGAATTAAATTATTGTCCTGATTGTAGATGCACTGCAAAAACAAATTCTTACCAAATATTTTTATGTAGTTTGTAGTGCAAATATCTTATTATATTTGAAATAAGATCAAACTAACTTGCAAGTAATTTTTCTGCAAGACATAGGAACTTGTTTTGAGCTAATAATTAGTATTAATGAAAAAGTTCCACTGGCAGATTATTTCACTTACAATGTGGCAAAACATTTAACTTTTTCATCAATATTAAGGAATTATTTACTTAAAACAAGGTCCTATATCTTAGTTTATAAATACACCACAAGTTTAATAAGATATTTGCACTAAAAAGTAGAACAAAAATAATTGGTAACATTTTATGTTTTTGCTGCGTGCAGGCGGGATTAAATGAGAAGTTATTTTCTTTTAGCTAACCTAGCTACCTAAGCTAGGTTATCTAACCTTTCCTAGGTTAGGTAAGGTTAGCTAGCTAGCTAGCGAGATATTTCTCTGTGGTAATAACTGTTGACAGTACAGTAGTGATTTACTCACAGAAGCAGAGGAAGAGTGTGTCGACACACATGTTGTAGACGCTGAAGAAACCGTGAGCTATGAGGTAGCTACCAAACACCACAGTCTGAAACAACACGAACATACATGGATAAATATAAAATACAGCTGGGTGGTTAATGATAGACAATAGAGTGATCATCAGCTCACAATAATTGGCATCCAGTAGTAGTTGAGAGTTTCAGAGCGAAATGTGTCGCCTGGGAGTTTGATCCGCCCAGAGAAGAAAAAGAACGACAAAACACCTGAAGAGGAAAATAAACAACACTTAACATTTTTAGTTCTTGCAGGGACACATTATTTACTTACAATTAACATTTCTGTGAAATATAAGAGCTTGTTTTAAGGAAGTAATTCCTGAACAATGACCAAAAGTACAAGCTCCATTTATTTCACTTATAACATGGGAACAAAGTCATAAACAATAAAATCAGTATTAAGGAATTATTTTCTAAAAACAAGCTTCTACATCTTCCTTAAAAGTTACTTATTTCAAGTAAACTGAGTGTTTAAATGTGAAACTAAACAAAACTACTTGATAAGATTTTGTGTTTTTGAAAACAGAATCCATTTCCTCACCTACTCCTCCAACCACAAGCAGTTTTCCAAAGAACAGCAGAATGTCGGTCACTTTATCGAGCACCACCACCCTGTGAGGAGGAGGAAACATAAAACCAGAACCGTGTCACAAACGGCTGCAGAGGACGGAAACGATCTGATCACTTTAACGAGGCCACACCGCAAACCTTATGACGTTTCTCATGAGCAGACTGAAAGCGTTTTTGGCTGAGACACAGAAGTTCTTCCCATAAATAGCAATCTGACAAAAAAAAAAAAGAAGAAATATTTAGGAAACATTATCAGTTTTTCCTGGTACTGTCTGATATTTCTGTGTTACTGAGTGAACTGATTCCTCACCATGATGTAGGCGTTCCTGTTGATGAACTTTATAAACTTCTCCAGACACCAGAAGCAGCATTTTAAGCAGCAGAGGACAAAACGGGCACAAGGGTTTTGAGCCGCTGGAAATGAGACATTAAACTTTTGAACAGTCCCTCAAAAACAAAAATCTGTTTCATTTTCATCTAAAACTATTTATTTACAGCACATTGCCCATCTTAACATTTTAAATCAGCTGAAATGTACTTACATTTGGTCTTGTGGTCGATGTACTCCAGTATAACCCTCACGATTTGAACCAGCGTCAGGATTAAAGAACCGAAGGCGAGAGAGCCAACATGGTACCTACAATACAGAATAAACATCACAGATCCCAGTTTAAATGAGAATATAACCAGAAAGGAAACATGGTGACCACAGCGGGTCAATGTTTAGCACAGTAAAACATTTTGCAAAATAAATCTAACAAATCATAGTGACCTATGACGTCTTGAACAGGTTAAGATAGATTTATGGGCAACACATGTTTGTTACATTTTTGACACCAAATTATTCTTAAATAATTAGATTTTAGTCTGCTCAGCTCTGCCTCCTTCCAGAATGAGCTGTTCTAGGGCGTCCTGTCACTTTAAATCCAAACAAGCTGCTGCTGGCCACGCCGCCCCAACTCAACATTTACACTCAAATGTGAAAATGGCTGCAAACAGATGAGGAATTATACATCTTTGAAAAGCATTAGTAGAGCCTCCTGCACAGACAACAAGAATGCAGCAAGTCGTTTCTGGATGGTAAGTTGTCAACAACAAAACACTTGTCTTTTCCAGCAGCCATTGTAAGGCAGTAAGACCAGCTGACCAAATGTGCTGGAGCTCTTCTTGGGTTGCCAGGCGACAACTGGGGTTGCTAGGTAAGAGCACAGTGCCCCACTGACAGATTATTTCATTTATAACAGGAAAAATGTCTTGTTACAAGTAAAATAACATGAAATTGGAAGTGTTAAATTTTTTAAGATTAATATTAAGGAATTATTGACTTAAGAAAAGCTGCTATATCTTGACAAAAGTTACTTGCAAGTTATTTTTGTCTTATTGCAAGTGTTTTCAGAAACTAGACCAAAAATACTTGGTAAGATTTTGTGGTTTTGCATTTAAGGTTTACATTTAATTTTTTATTTATTTTTTTTAACTAGGTTCTTGGGACGCCCCGTACGCCTTAGCGCTCTGAGTGGTGGGCCATTTTTCCAGATAAAAACAGAAAAACAACACTGTTTCTGAGCACACCGTCTAACATTTAAATAAAACAGATTGTAAAACCTGATGAAAACATCAGATGGAGCTTTAATGTTTCTTTTACTTTAGAGGAATAATAATTTAACGTCGCTAAACTATAAATGGATTACAATCTCACTTTCAGTCGCAGAAATCTAAATAACTAAACTCTTTACATTACCTGAGTGTCCGCAAAAAGCTGGCACCCACTGGAAACATGGGGATGTCGTCCGGCTTGGTGAAGGCCCAGTAGTAGGAGGCGAAGGCCCCCGCCAGCGTGCACTGCCCCAGGGCGATGACGAAGTTCACACACCAGAGGAAGGCCACCGCGTTGTAAATCTGCAGGTTGAACATGTTCTTCTGGAAGAGACCTTCCTCGTTGTAGCTGATGAAGATGCAGCTGGCTGAAGGACACTCTGGGTAATGTGATGAGTTGAAAGTCTGACAGCAAGCCAGAAAGAAGTTAGTGATGAGATTATCCCTGTACTGAAAACGTATGAGGTCATGGTTCAACCTGAGGGTCACAGGTCACGTTGCCGGTGATGCTCGAACAGCCGCCGTGCGACGAATTTAGAGCCACCACTTTGTAGATGGGCTCTCCTGACGTGGCCAAGTATCTGCAGGTCCCAGTTCAGCCAAAACAAACACTGGAGCCCAACGGTCAGAGCCGGGCAGTAACTAGCTACATCTACTCAGTTACATTTACTGGAGTAACGTTTCTGAAAATATTCACTTTTAGGAACTTTTTACTACGCTGTAGTAGTAAAAAACTTTTACTTGAATCATTTTATTAAGAAGTATTTCTACTCTTGAGTAAAATTTCTGGATTTTCTACCCATTGAATAAAAAACTAACATGTTTTAACCAAAGCTTCACCATAAACAAACATAAACCTGCAGTTTTTGTTAAAGTTTTGTAAGTTTTATATTGAAAAAAAAAAAACTGATTTGGAACCATTTTATTTTACCTGAATTTTTACTTTTATGACAAATTCAGGTCCGTCCTTAAAATACCAAAATTTCCACTTAACTTTATATTTTGTTCTGTCTGATGATGTAATTTTTAAATATTAAAATGGTCGAGTTACTCAGTATTCGAGTAGACTTTTTACCAAACACCTTTTTACTCTTGAGAACTTTCTTAGATGGCGACTTTTTACCGTCACTTGAGTAAAAATGTGTTGAAGCAGTTGTACTCAAGTTAGAGTTCATACTCTGCCCACCTCCACTGACAGTAGCCAAAGGAAGGCATACAAAAATTTTACTCAAGTAAAAGTACTGAGTAACTGATAAAAACATCAATCATTTAACATTTTAAAATTATATTATCAGACAGAGCAAAACAAAGAGGAAATTTTGGTATTTTAATGATAAAAATGAAAAATATTTAGGACTGGAATGATTTATCACGATTCATAAATTTAGTGAACTAATTTAGTAAATGATTAACTGATTGCTTTAGTAAAGTTAAAGGATACATCGCGGTGGCGCCCCAGTAGGAGACGCAGACCAGCAGCAGAACAAATGTGACCAATGGGAACGCCAGGGAAGACATCATGTGACCAATCGCTCTGCAGGTAATAAACAGGAGTTAATGTCTCAAAAACAAACATCTTTATAAAAACAACATGTTCTGTTTGTGCATCTTGAATCGAAGCAGCTCAATCAGAAGAGGGTTTTGTGATGGGCATCACAGGCTGCGTTTCCATTACAAATATGCACAAAACTTTGTTAATATTCCACTAATGTCAAAAATAAAACAATTTTGCAAATGTGTTTTCATGAAATAAGAAATGCAATTTAATAATTAAATAAAATTACAACAAAAAAAAAAATCACATGAATAAGCTTGTTCATGCTAAAAAAACACACAAAAAACTCTCTAATCAACATTGCCAGGTTTCTATAAAGAAGATTTATTTTCGTAGTTCCAATTTGAGCAATCGCATGTGTAACATGTTTTATTTCAACAATATTACATTTGCTTATTTACTGTCGGAATGTATATTTTTAGTCAACAAGTTGTTTCTCCAGACATTTATTGGTGTTTTCAGTTCAGTTGGTGGTTACCATAGCAACCAGTAACTGACAGCTCCTCCCCCTTTTTTCTGTTGCCGTTGGTAACTGGTATGTATTAGAATCAGTTCTGTGTTTTCTTTACAAATATTATTTTTTAACATACATTTTAGACAAATTGAATCATATACAGTGTTTCATGAGTGATTTTGCTATGTTTTGCTTAATTTTGTTTTGAGAGGGTTAAAAATGCTAACTGCTCATCGGGAGCTATTGTTTTGTAGTTTATTTAGGGTTATTTATTACATTTTATTTAATATATAGGGGCAGAAGCTGCTGGACTGATGTTAACCACCATCTAGATTTCCTATTTTGTTAGAATAAACACAATGAACCTGAATGTGTCAGTCGTGAAATCAACCTACTGGACCTGAGACGAACAGACGGGTTATAGATGGTCAATGGAAACGCAGTTATTGACAGTCACCCAGGGCAGCAATAGAAATGGGGCGCACAAGCACCGGGTAAAAAAATATAACTCCAGTTATACCCTGAACAGGTTTTCCATTGCTTTTTTTCCCGCCATTTTACTGATTTCCAGTTGTGATTCGACTCACCTGCTGGACTCCTGAATGAGAGCGATCGCTATCAGGATTCTGGTTCTGAGGAAGATGACGGTGAGGAGGATGATGACTTCCACCACACAGAGGACTATCACTGAGGGTCAGAGAAATTATCCACACCAATCACTCACAGCTGCTCATTCAACAAGCATCATTAATAAAACTGTAGCTTTTGTCCCGTAATTTGAAATCTGCTTTTTTTTTTTTATTATTTACTCAGGGAATCTCATTTTAAAAAAAGAATGAACAGAAAACATCTTTAAGGAGATTTTTCACAACACTGCTGAAGAAAGTAGATGCTAGCAATAAAAGCAGATTAGAACCGCAACTAACAATTATAGTCATTTGTTCCAGACTTTTCCATCAGTTTATTGATCTCATCAGTTTCCTACTGACCCAAAACCTCAACAATTTTCTTAAAAACTGAGAATTAACTGAAAATGGAAAACGCATTTGGATTAAAACAAAACTAATCTTACAAATGGCCAGCCAGGTCTCCTGGACTTGCAGATAAGTCTGAAAGTTAGTGGTGAATCCGACGTCGGTGATGCTTGCAGACTGTTGTTTGTAGTTATCGTATTCCCAGTAGCAGTGCCAGATTCCTGCGTTGAAAAATTAGGGATTAATCAAAACATCGTAAGAAATGGAAGTTAAAATTTAGAAAAACAGCTTAAAATCAAAACGGCAATGAAAAAAACCCTTTAAAAGTGCCGTTAGCCGTTAGCTACAAGACAACAATAGTGCTGTAAATATGAAAGCAGCTGAATTTTTACCGTAAGCACCAGATGCCAGGAGTCCGATGATGATCAGCCAGATCATCACTGGAGCGATGAACCTCAGCAGCAGCAGGAACAGCAGACTGACCACCATGGCTACCACCAAACCACTAAAACCAGTAAGTAATAAAAAGTCGCATTTACCGTCATAAATAAGCAAAAATATTTCCAAATTAGTAACACAAACAAAATCCTGGAGGGACTGAAATTAAATAATTTTATTTAATCTTAAGAATTCATTGATAATTTAAGTTTGGTGAACAGGTTTTTATCAACACATTCTGGCACAACCAGGCCTTTAAGAGCATTAATGATTTTGATTTGGCCCAAAACAAAGATGAGTTCGACACCCCTGGATTAAAAACTCAAAAAAGGCCATTTGCTGACTGCGGTCTCATCTTTTGTCACAAATTATCAAACATACACTAAAGGAATACCATGTTTTAGAATCTTGGGCAATAAAATGTTTATTTTGTTATTTAAAAATGAACTGAATCAGCACAAACAGCAGTAAAACCAGCTGAACAAACATGCTGAAGCCCTGCTAGGTTGCTAGGTGATGGACTGGGGTTGCTAGGTAACGGCACAGTGCCTTGGAATGCGACTAGTTTTTGAAACTGCTTTTTTTTCAGATAACAAAAAAAACATTAACTTATTGTCAGAAATGGCTGGGTGTTTCTGGAAACAGCCGAGACCCATATGGAAGTACAAAAATGTCCAAAATGTTACATTTAAAGGGAACCTGTAATACTAAACTCACATCTGGAAAGTGAAATTGTGTTAGTCTAAGACGGTTTCTAAAACATAAAGTGGTAAAATGTGCAATTGGTGCAGCTCAGCTAAAACTCACACTAGAATCCACGGCCAGGCTGATGCAAAATCTTCAAAGATCCGGAGGACAACGTTTTTCATATTGAAGCTGTTGATTATGTCTCTAATGAGGAGAAATTCAAAGATAAGTTGCATTAAAGCTGCTCTCCTTTCAAACTGTGGATAAAAACCAAGACTTAACAACAACTAAAGCAAGGACGACATGGCGGCATTTATCTAAAACAGGAATGACCAACTCCAGTCAAGGAGAGCTACTGTTCTGCAACTTTTGGAAGCATCTCTGCTGCAACAAACCTCAATTATATACAGGGTTCATACACTTTTCCCACAGTAAAATTCAAAAACTTTTCAAGCATTTTTAAGGGAAGTTTGGTTTTTTAGAACTATATGAAGCTAAATTGGGGTCATAAAGTTCACTAATTTTTATTTTTAACTAAAAAAACAGAGATTTGAACGTGGAAAATAATTTTGAAACTGAAAAAAATAAAAAATTTGTAACTAAGAAAAATAATAAACCAGAAAAAAATAAGACGAGAAAAACAGGTAGTTTTTACGTTTTTTTCAGTTTCAAATTTTTGGTTCCAGTTTCAAAACATTTTTTAAATTTAGCTCCATACAACTCACCTGAAAACAAGTTTGCACATTTTTATTAAAATTTAAAAAAAACAGTAGCTTTGAAATTTTTTCCAGTTTTAAAACAGACATTTTTGAGCAAACTTTATGGCCCCGATTTAGCTCTATAAAACTTACCTGAAACAAGCTTAGTCTGATTTAACTTCAGACAGAGAGAAAAAAGTGTGTTTGTGTGTTTTTATTAGATTTCTGAAAGCATCTGGTTTCAACTGTAAATAAAGTTAATCCAAATTTAGGCTTTTTAAAAGCGTTAAATTGCATTTTATTACCAAACTGTGCAGTTTGAATATCAACCACTTACAAGGACTGTATACAGAAATCAAGCATTTTCCAAATCTTGAAAAGACCTAATTGACATGGAAGCATTTCAAGCACCCTGCATCTTGTTTACCCTCTGCAGAGCTGAACTGAGGCGTTTTGCATCTGAATTAGTAGCTCTCCAGGAACGAACACTTTACACACTACAGAGCCGTTTTTACATTAACCCATTTCTCCTTCAAAGACACAAAAAACAAGACGGACTTTAAAAAGTCTCCTTTAATCATCAGATTAAAGTAGCAGACTCAAACTACATCGCCTGAAATTAATACGTTTTGTGAGGCGTCTAGAGGCCGGCTTGCGTCCCTGAAGCCACCGCCACCCAGCTGCTACGCTAAAGCCGATGAAAACTCACAACCACTGACCGTGAGCTGGTGATGAGGAGCAGGGAGGAGGCAGAGAAAAGCTGAGGTTTACCATCTGTTGGTGCTGTAAACATTTTCACGGTTAGCGGTTTGTGTCTTACCCAGTGCCGTTCTTGATGAGGTTCGCCGTCTCGTTAATCGAGCTCGGCAAACCTGGGGTGTCGGCGAAAAAGCCGGGGATTGAGCCTAGTTTCTGGACGTCGGGGAAACATCTCCCCAACGCTAAAAAAGAAAGAAAAAAGAGATATCTGAATAAATGGAAATAATTTGTCTTTTAAAGTTGGTAAAACTGGTTAATGTTTAAACAAGATGATGCAGCCATAACATTGTGGGAATAAAGTCGTAATATAATGTCATAATCATAAAAGTAGACTTATAACTGTGATAAATTGAGGAATGTTGAGCATTCTGTGTTTATATTTATTTTACTAGTAAGGAAACACATCAGCTGAAGTGTTCAATACGACTTTATTCTGGTTAAATTAAAACTTAATTCCTGTATTATTACTAAAATTACTTTATTTTGGTAATATTGTGACTATTCTCAAAATATTACAATTCTATTCTTGTCATTTTGACTTTATTCTCGTATTACTACGACTTTATTTAGGTAATATTACTTTATTCTCGAAACATTATAGCTTTATTTCTTAATACTGTGACTTCATTCTTGGAATACAAGTTTATTCTCGTTTTGCCACGACTTTTTTCTGGTAATTTTCGTCTCTGTTCTCATATTAAGACATTATTTTCATAATTTTATTCATGTGTTATTTTAACTTATATGAGTTTATGCCACAATTGTGGCTTTATTTACACAATTTTATGACTTTATTCTTGTAATTTTCTCTTTTAACTTCTGTAATTTTCTTCTTTTTTATCTTTCTTGGCTTGACTTTACTACTCCGTCATACTCATGAATAATCAAAGATATTTTCTCACCTGGGGTAGTTGGTATGTGGAAGAAAGGACAGAGCTCTTTGCTCACAATTTCTGAAACGCTCTAAAAATGAGATCATTTATAGTTTTAAATAAACTAATTCAGATTTATGGTAAAAGAAAGCAACAAAAAGCTGTAGCTCACCAACTTGGTTGTTTTCAGGTCCAATGATGGAACGCATAAACTTTGATTAAAAACTTCATTTACTGATTTTCCAGGCATATAATCCACAGGGCTGACAGCCCAGAAGGTAGAAGGACATTTTTCTACACAAATCTGGGTGAAAATAAAATCTTTGTGTTAAATCAAGTGAATTCAGACAGCCGTAGAGCAAACATAAAGCTGGAGTCTGTACCTGCGTGGTTGGGCACTGCAACCCGTTCAGCGACGTCACCAGAATGTTCACAGACGACGCACATTTCAGAATATCGAAGTAGAACAAGTGTGGTTTGTCTCTGGAGGAGAAAATCAGGTTTTATTACAAGATTTGAAGCTGCCATACAGTAATCACACTCCTGAATCTTTTTCACTTATTTTTGTTTTACAGATTATAATAAAGTTCAATGTATTTTCATTAACTTTAAAGCAACAAAGCATTCTACAAAGTTCACAGAAAAACAAAAACTCTGAAAAGTGTGGCTTGCATTATTTTAGTGTCTTCAGTCAGAGGCTTTTTTTTTTTTTTTTAGATTTGTTGCAAGACTGACTGCTACTGGAGCTCCTTCTAGAAGTCGCCAGATGAGGTCATCACCTAATTTGCATATCTGGTAACGTGTAATCCAGGCAGTAGAAGAAAGGATTATCTAATTTGAATAAAAATACTATAAACTTTTAGAACTACAATTAAACTTTATAAAATAATTGAATAATGGCAATTTTATAATGTAAATAAATACTTTGTGATGGAGTATTAGGGGCACGCTGACATTTTTTTTCTTTTGAATTACAAGAACAAAGCAATAATATTATGAGAAGTCATACGGGAATAAAGTCATAATATTTCAAGACTAAATAATAAAATTAAAATAAACTCGTATGAGAGAAAACTCACAATATTACGAGAAAAAAGTTATAACACAAGAATAAAAATGTGATAATATAAGAATAAAGTCTAAATATTATGACTGTCATAATTCTATTTTCTTAGTGTGGCCCTAGTACTCCCTAAATCAGTTTCGTATAATATCAAATTTTACTTCGTGAAAGGTGGTTCCACTGAGCATTATTGAAGAGAGATATGCACTTCCTTTTTAGGTTTTTATTGGTGAGAAAATATTAAAAACTATCAGTTTGTTTCTACTTCACATCTCTGCATTACTGTGTGTTGGTCTGTCACATAAAATCCCCATGAAATAGATTGCAGTTTGTGTTTGTAATGTGACAAATTTGGGAATGCTGCTGCATTATTAGAAAAATATGATGAAAACACTGAGGACCTACTTGTTGGGCCCGATGCCACAGAACCAACCGGTTGAATTCCTTGGAAAGAGGACATGTCTGGGATCTCCATAGAGCCAAGCTAAAAGGAAAAACAAACAAATCAAACACTTTTTTTTTAATTTAGCCTTTATTTACCAGGATAAAAACCCACTGGGATTAAAAACATCTTTTTCATAGGAGTCCTGGCAGAGAGGCAGCAACACAAAAAAAGAAAAAGAAAAGAAACAAATCAAAGTTTGATTAAAAGCACATCTAAAATCTAAAATTATTATCCAAAAATCGGAAAACTTCATGTGGCTGCAGGAGTTTTTTAAGTTCCTCAATCCGACCACCAGGGGGCACTGCAGCTTGCACTTTCACGTTTTGACAACCAGCTCCCAGTTTCCAGGCCACACATACAGTAAACAAAAACACAACTAGAACCAGTTCATACCTGGACTTATTATTAATTCAAAATCTGATCCTAAATCAAACTGCTGCGGTTTGTTTGTTCTCAACATTTCCACAGATTTGTCCACTTTTAACAGATTTGTTAGCAAAAGTAAAGCAAATCCAAATTCGATTATCAGTGATTTTGAAACGTTTCCAGTGGAAATAAGGTTGTTGACACACATATTGTGGCAGCAGATAACCTAGTTAATCAGTCTGATGTGTTGACTCTAGATAAGAGAGCGTGGCCTGAGTGCTGGAATGAGATTGAGGACAAAGAAATAAAGACCTGCTGGCTGAACAACGACAGGAAGTTTCATTCACAGATGAGCGGGAAACACTTAATACAGTTCAAAGAAATAAAGGAAATCAGTGTTTTCTAGTATGTCCAAAACATAAACTCCAACATCTGTGAGTAAAACAGATACAGATCAGTGTAGCTCGCTTTTATGAGCTACACTGATCTTTTATAACTATATTTAACTGTTTCTGTTCTGATCATTTTTGTTGTTTATTTATCTTACCTCATTAGTTTCATTCCTTTCTGTGTTTAGTTTTAGTTTATTCTTATCTCCTGTTAATACATTTAGATCTGGATTCCTTTACTAGTGTTTTCCTTTCTGTCTATTGTTTGTTTAGTTTCAAGTTTAAATTGTTTATCTTCCATCTTCTCTCATTCTTCCACCCCCTTCTGTACCTACACTGCAAAAACTCAAAGCGTTACCAAGTATTTTATGCCTTGTTTAGACTGCAAATATATTAGTACAGTGAAACCAGAACTTTTCTATCAATATTAAGGAATTATTGACATAAAGCAAGCTCCAATATCTTGTTGAAAAGTTATTTGTAAGTTAGTTTTTTTTTCCAAGTGTATTAAGATTTTTGCACTGGAAACTAGACTAAAAATAGACTTTGTGTTTTTGCAGTGCGTTCTCTGCTCCTTCCTCATACTGTTAGTTCTCCATTCGTCCCGTTGCCCTGCTGATCCTTCCTGCTTCAGTTTCATAAGTCTTTAATTTCTCGTTAATAAATACAAAACGTCCTGAAGGAAACAGCAGGAAAACCTCAGAAGAAGAAATGAACACAACTTCCTTCTTCACAAAATGCAAACAAAAATGGAGTAGCGTCAGATTTTAGTGGCTTTAGGAGCAGAGTTCAGTTTTTTGGTTCACATATTTCAAATGAACCGAACTTTTACAGAAATGAACTAGTTGGATTAAAGTGAACTAAACGTGAAAGAACCCTCAAAATACAGAGGAACCATCTCCATTCTCCATTAAGCATTTTTGGTGCATCACATCTTTGTTCCTCTACATTGGAGGTGTCCAAAGTGTGGCCCGAGGGCCATTTGTGGCCCTTGCTGTGAGTTTGTGTGGCCCCCAACTGCAATTCAAGAATGATTCAACTGCAAACTTTTTATTTTTAATCAGGGTGTAATTATAAAATAACATAACTTTCTTGCAATAGAAAATGTTAAGAACAACACAAAGTTTTTTGAATTTGAATGTGAAAACTGCTCTACATGAACAGTGGAAGTTGTTCCAGAAACCTTTGGATCTTTTGGTTTCACTCACCTAAGATTCCTACGCCGATGTAGCCGAGGATGACGACCATGAACAGAATACAGCAGATTATATCCGTGCATCCTCTGTGGAGAAAATTTAAGAAAAGTCAGGAAGAATTTGAATATATCAGAATGGAATAAAATAAAATATCTTAAAGTTTCACCTTTTCTTTATGGGTCCATTAAAGGTTGGGTCAAACTGGGCCGGTTCACCTGGGAGCAGAAAACAGTCATTAAACATTAATCAGGGGACGTCACTGTTTATGGTCATTATCAAGGAAACGGTAGCAATGGAGACATCGTGAACTTTTAATCACTTTAAGGAAACGTACAGAAATGTTTATCAGTATGTACAAATATGAAAAAACTACTTCCTGTTGCTTTTTAAAACAAAGTGCTTCCTTGAGTTTTCAGGGTTAATAAATTACTGTGGAACTGAGTAAGGAAAACTTTTTAAAGCATGTCAGAATATTTACTTACATTTTTAACCAAGATACAGTTCAAGGTTAAAGTTTTACTGCAAAAACACAAAACGTACCAAGTATTTTTAGTTCTAGTGCAAATGTCTTGGTACACTTGAAATTAGACAAAACTAACTTAAAAGTAACTTTTTATCAACATATAGGAGCTTATTTTAAGTCAATAATTCATTAGTGTTGATGAAAAACTACTTGTTTTATTGGCAGATAAATTAACATAACATGGGAAAAATGTCTTGTTATAATTAAAATAATCTGCCAATGAAACTAATACTTTATTAATATTAAGGAATTATTTACTTAAAATAAGCTCTTAATTACTGCTGAAAAGTTACTTTTAAATTAGTACCCTTGAAATAAGACAAAACTAATATATTTGTACCAGAAACTAAACCAAAACTTTGTAACATTTTGTGTTTTTGCTAGTTATAAGTTTATTCTTTTTTCTACTCCTTCTTATTCAGGATTTTTTTTGTTGTTACATTCATATTCATTATTACGTGTATGAAATAAAACATAAAATAAAAATTTACTCTCCAGAATCTCGACATACTTTTCAGTGTTATCCTTTTCTGCATTTTGAAACAAAAAGTGTATTTTGGCTGCTGTATCCAATACAAAAAAGCAACCAGAACACTAAAACAAAGTGGAAATATACAAATCCATTATTTTTTTTAATTAAATGTACTAAAATTCTTTGACCTTGTAAAGTTCAAAACTACAATTTATGTTAGAAATCAAGAAGCTGTTGATTACTGGATGTGGAAACAGGAAGAGAGGGAAATATTTGCAGTTTGATCGCTTGAGCTCAGTCCTGACATGAAGGTACGATTTCTGCTCCAAATTCACATAAAAAGAAAATCACCTATTCCGCTCTGAAGACTATTAAACATGTTTCAAATACAAACAAAAAATACACAAAACATCCATTTATTTGTTTGTTCCATAAACTGACACCTTTAATTTTTTTAAAACCTCAGTTTCTTTTAAGCTGCATTTAAATCATGGTAAAAATAACTTGTTTTATCTTTTTACACATTGTTTTCAATATTGTTTGGTAAATAATAATAAAAAAAGTGTTTGTACACACATTTTAAAATATTAAGCACTTAATTCAAAAAAGTTTCAATAAGTTTGGCTGGATAAATATGGGCTTTGTTTCACAATTCAAGGCTAATTCTTATGCACATTTTTTCCTTCCACTCAACTTTTCAGGTTTCTGGACAGACAGCTCTCTTTGGCAATGACCTTGTTAACGTTTTAACGACCTGTAAAATCAGCCATGTTACTCATGACAGTCAGGCTATAACGTTAAAACTTTAAAGGTTTACTGACCTTACGCAACATTCAAACTGTAAAGGCTGAGTTTTCATTTACTGTAAGCCATTATTATAACTTATTTAACGTATAATTTAAGAGTTTTGGTTTTTGAACAGAATTACAAAAACTGAAATTCCTGTTTTATCATGAGATGCACCATTAGGGAGTTTGTGGGGAGTCGCGGTTGCTTCGTGGAATAAACGGTGAGTTTCATATTTCTGCTTTACAGGAGCAGAGCATTTTAAAGAGCGCTGCACGACATACTTTCCAGATGAGTGTCAAACATTTCCTGGTTTTAACAGAATAATGAGAAATGTTTATTTTAGCGAGCTGAGTTAGCTTCTCTCTCACCCCTGACAATTGGGTTAATGTGCAGGAAAAACCTGCTGAGTGAGTTTTTCCTCATACCAAATACAAGCAAAACTTGTTAATCATTTCACTGCAAAACCAAACTCGCTGAACGCGTCTTCATCAACAATACCAAAAGCAACAGGTGGATATTTTCTGTGATTCATGCAAACACAGGATGATGAAGTTATTCTTCCAAAGGGAGCGGCGGTTCGCCACGCAGCTCGGCGACAGCAGGCGTTTCTCACTGCAGCTCGGCTGTAATTACCTCCACTGGGACTGATTTGAATAGGAGTGAATGGAGACTGTGTCAACATTATTCTCAGAAATGTGCCAGAGGCTTCGAGTAGGATGCAAATACTGAACCAGGATGCAGGAAGTTCAGAGCAAACCATGCAGGTGCAGCCTGAGAACGTCTTAGATTCACAATTACAAGCAAACTTCTTAGGATTTAACCTGAAACAAATAGTTTTAAGGCTGATTGTCAGGGTCAAAATGTCACCACTAGGGAGGAAAGTCTCAAAAGACGTTTGTTAGAATTTAATGAAGTGGTTCTTGGAAGAGACTTCATATTTGATTTGTAGCTGGGAATAAATTGGCTACTTATCCAGTGAGTTTTACCTCAGAAAATATGAAACGTTTTGGAAACCAGAGATTTTTCTGATTTGTTTACTCAGTGGCTACAAATACAGGCTAATAAAAAATTCTTTGTAAGTTTAACTTATCAAAGACTAATGAACTAAAATTACATTTTGTAACCAACATAACCAATAAGATATAACAGAAGCTATAAATAAAGTGGATTAAAGTGGATATTGTGGGGGTTTTTCACGAATAATCAGGAGTCACATTCCGCCAGACATAAAAAATAAAAATAGAAAAGATAAGCTAATCCAGTAAGCAGATTTGCATGAAATCCACTTACCAGACAGTACAAAAAAAAACAAAAAACTAATTTTACTAAAGCTATGATAAAATTGAATATGCAAGGTGGCCATATTGGATTGGAGATAAAGGTTGGTGATGTTCTGTGACTTTCCCCACATTGAACAGATCTTTATTATGTGATGTCATACTGAGCTGACAGCCATTTTGGTAGGTATCAGTAACTAGCTGTCATGATAGTTGCTGTGGAGTTGCTACAGCAACAATTAAAAAAAAGCCCACAAACAATTTAAACAATTTAAATACATTACAACTACTTGAGCAATCTACCCACCTCTGTGTAAAACTAGGATAAATATTAGTGATATTTACTGTAGTACTTGCTGCCCAACTAGCTAAATTAGCTTAACTAATGTAGCTTTTATCTGCTAGCTAAGATGGACATGTAGCCTACGTGTTTGTTACTATATGAACTTAATCTGCCGGCCACCAGAACCCTGTTATTCACATAAAACATTGATTTTATGCATCTATAGATTGCAGGCCTTGAAACTCCTCCATGTTGTACGCACTCTTCATGTTCACCAAATATTGAATTGAGTCATATGATGAGATCTGAGGCAGTTTGTCCACATTCGTCTCATACGGGTCGACCCAACAGCAGCTAATTTGTTGATATATATTCCTCTTGTACTTTGGTCAAGAATGTGAATATTCTTTCTTTTTGGTGCCGTGGTTCATCTGAGTTTGCCTACCAAGATGGAGCTTGCCTCTTATAAATAAAAATGTAATGCATGATTATACAACCCATAAAATATTTTTTATGAAGGACTGAAGAAAGACTTGCAGTAAGATTTCACCATGAGGGACAAAAGTCTGAAAGATCAAAGTTTAAGTACTATAATCTGTAGAGCCACAGCCGTCAAACTGTGGGACCACTGGTGGCACTTTGGTTGATTTCAGTTGTACTCTGAAGAAATGTTGGTAGTAGTTTGGTAAATACGTACAAATTGGCAATATTTCATTCACTTTAGAGATCAAAACTCAAACATGTTTCAGTCTCTGGATGGAAACCAGTTGGATTTGTTAATCTCTGTGAACTAAAGTAAATACAAGCTAATAATTATTATAATAATAATGTACTTTCTAACACTAAAGCAACATGTTTGCTCATGAATCTGTATGATATTGTTTGGGAAAAAGATTTAATGAAAAGTGCAAAGTATTTCTACTTTGGCTACTAAATGTTATATGTACGGCGGCCATATTGGATTTTGAGGTTGGGATTGAGAAACAGAATACCAACTGGGGGGGAGGGGTTTAGCTACAAACTTGGAAACCTTAAACTTCTGAATTAAAATTAAATGCATAATTATTTTTCAACCAACCAAGTGATCAAGAATGTTTAGTTTTGTGCTTAATGTTATCAGAATGCCAAAAAAGTCACAGTATGGTTTTAAAACGGGCCTAATCGAAAAGGAAGTTAATTTTGATTAAAGTAGTACAAGTTCTGTTTTATTCTCTGTTTAAGATCCATAAAAAAGATAAAGGAAAAAGAAAAAAAAAGAAACTCTGAAAAAGCAAAGAAGAAATAATTAAAAATATAAACTTTTCCACTGACGTTGCTTTGCGTCCGGAGCTTCATATTTCAGTTCTGCAGACAGTCTGGTGTGTGTTTAGAGTAAACAATGATACTCGCTCACCGTGTTCCCCTCCCACGGATATAAAAGATATTTAAGTTTTTTATGTCCTTGTAAAAACCAGAGAGAAAAGCTTTAAAACCTGCGAACTTTGGATCTCAGTCAAACTGCAGAGCATTTTTACAGCTGAAATCAGAGATCAGTGACCTTCACTGAGGAGGAAAGACTTAAGTTTCTAGTTACAGAAATGCTAAATGTGTATAATGATTAAAAATTTTGGAAAATAAGGCTCTGATTTAAGGACAGAGGACAAAAAAGTTTATCAAACCAAGTTGATTTAAATATTGTCATAAGAGAAACAAATGTGAGAATAGTGTTACTTCCCCCCATGTAATAAAAAACCTTTATACAGACAGAATAATAACTTAGCTTACATAACGTATATCATCCAACATGCTGGTCGAGGCTTAGAAACAGCTTTAAATTCATTTTTATTATTTTATTCTTCATCAGGGCTCAAGTCTGAGACTTTTTATGTACA